CCTCTCCCCATCCTCCCACCATCCTCTAAAGAGGCAAAGGGATTTTTTTTTTTTCTTTTGGTCTTCTTTTTTCCCCCTTCCCTGTTTATCCTGAAAAGGATTTGAAGACAAGCTTGGAGGATAAAAAGCCTTGGTGCTTCCCAGGAGCCGAGCCGAGGAGCAGAAGAGGAAGAGCCGGGGGCTGCCGTAGCCTTTGGAGATGGACGAGCAGCCCAGGCTGATGCATTCCCATGCTGGGGTCGGGATGGCCGGACACCCCGGCCTGTCCCAGCACTTGCAGGATGGGGCCGGAGGGACCGAGGGGGAGGGCGGGAGGAAGCAGGACATTGGAGACATTTTACAGCAAATTATGACCATCACAGACCAGAGTTTGGATGAGGCGCAGGCCAGGTGAGATGGAGGCTTTTCTTTTCCTTTCTTGGGGTTTTTTGTTTCTCTCCCTCTCGCAGGGGGAAACAATGGGAGCCGGATCACCACAGCGCTTTCTTTTAAAATGTTGTTTCTTTTCCCATTTTGACAAGCAAGTACATGGCGGAGGAGTAAGCTTGGAGGGAGCGTTGTTATCGAAAGTGCAATCGCCCATGCCGTGATGTGGCCGTGGGTATACACACACACACGTACACACACACATACATACACACATATATAGAGAGTGTGTGTATGTGTGTGTGCGTGTGTGTGTGTGTGTGTGTGTGTGTTTGTGTACCGGGGCATTCGTATACATCCACACAAACGCACGGGCACGCCGAAAATGCTGCCAACTGAGCCCAGAGCGGCCCACGGCACTTTTTACTGCTTTTAAAAAGTAGGAGAGAGAACAGAATTGTCAAGTTTGGGGCAGCATTCCATGCCTTCTTGTTGAGGGACTCCGTAACATTACAAAATAAAATGTCCCAAGAACACTTTATTTGCAAATTTAGTTGACTCCTCACCTAATTCAACCAGTTTGATTTTCTTTCTTGACTTATCCGTCCAAAATGAATTTTTATCTTTTCCCCTTTCTCCCCGCCCTCCCCCCCCAATACAAAACAACAACAAAAAAGCTGGGTATTTCTTTGTCAGTGGTTGCCAGCTATCCAGAAAATATTTTGCATTCACTTATTCATGTTTTTTTTAAAAAGTTCATGGAAAGAGAGAAAAGATTATTTTGTTTTTAGGAATATTTGTTAGTTTTAAGAGACTCAGATTTTTACTTTAACTTTATTGTCTCCTAATTTGAGTCCGTTTACTAACATTACGTGATACAGACAGCTATGGATGGTCCTTTAAAAAGGGGTGGGGGACAAAAATGAAGCATGCTCTCTTCCCCATGCTTCTGCTGGGACCTATAGAAATGAAAGCATGTGTAAATTTTAGGTATTTTAATACTGTAGAACAGGAAGATCTTTATTAAGGAAACAGAATAAACTAGGTAGCTTCTCAACTTAATCCACTGCCAAGTATATAGTTCTCTAGGAATTTACGGTAAATTCTCTTTCAAAATAAAACAGGCTAAGTGACAACTCACTAACTGCTTGCCCAAGGCCGAACTCAAAAGGAAGAATTCAAAAAATCTAGTGACCACCTATGTCTGTAGAATTACCCAGCTTTGTTCAATCACCGAAGTAGCGTTTTTTTTTTCTTTGAAAATCTCTTAGACGTATATATACAATTCCTGTACCTCAAGTGACTTAGTTATATGCAGAGGAAATCATGATGTATATTTCTGTCTAAGAGAAATATGAATATGAGTAGAAAAAATGAGAGGAAGCAGCTAAAAACATGAATGTTATGAATATACTCTTAATTTTAGCTGCAAGCACATGCAACATGTAAACTCAAAAGTACTAGGGTTTACGGGTGTTTGAAAACTTGGCAATGTTCAAAGACTCAAAGTATTCTAAAATTTTTTTTTGAGGAAAGATTTTAAAAATTAATTGGTGCTCTTTTTGAATTTTATTATTTGAAGAAAAGCTAATAGGTATGGTAAGTTGGAAGATTTCCCACTGGCAATTCTTTTCTGAATTGGAACAGATTTCTCCATTACATTGTTCTAGAAAAATACACTCAGACACACCAATAAACTGGTTTAATAACAAGTTTGTGAAGTGGAAGGGGCCTGTAAGAATAGATGCTCACTGTACTTTTTGATGCTTAGTCTCTCTCTTTTTTTGTGAAACTGAGGACAAACATGGCTTGGCGTGTTCCCCCTTTTAATGGCCTAGATGCTGAGAGAGATCAGATACAATTTTGGGAAGGGGACATTTTCAGTTCTTTCTAGGCCCATTTGTGTGCTGTGGAAATGCAATATTTTTGGGAAACTATGTGAGAATTTTTGCTTGCATTTGGTCCTGTGTATAAGAATACAATTAATGAAAACAATTTTAAAAGAGTCAGGAAAGATCTTTGATTCATTAAAGTATTTTCCATCTTTTTTTTTTTAAAACCCACACGAGAACTGACTAAATCAACACTAAGCCTTCTTCCTTTTTGGTTAAACAACAGTAACTCTACTTAGTAGATAGTATGCCCTTTTTTCCTTTTCCTAGTCACACCTTTAAAATGTATATTTAGTGTTTACAAAGTAAGCCATTCTTATTCGAGATACAACGTATATGTTCATTTTGATAGTCCTAATTTTGAGTTTATTACTCCCCTGCTCCACAGTATATAGAACATGTTTCTGATACCAGTTCTTCATGAGGATGTGTCTATTTTTTAACTTTCAAAGAGAATGAAAAAGAATTGCATGTGTTTTGATTGCCAGAACTTTCCATTTATCTTTACGTGTTAATTATAGTTAGTAAACAGAATTCCCTTAACTAATAGCTGATATGATCAGCATTCTGTTTCCAAAACAGTATCATTCTGCTAAGTGATTCCATAATAAAATAGAGGAAAGGTATTGTTTTGTTCCTCAAGTGCATTCTGAACACACACACACACACACACACACACACACACACACACATACACACACACACACACACACACACGAACCAGGTAAATCACTAATCTGAAAGGCAAAATTGTATTTATTTTTTCCCCAATGGGTGCAAAGTCCTAATTGTAAATAATTGAATTTCAACACCTGCAAATAAGCGATGTGTGCACAAGAGGCATAATGTGAACACAGAGAAATGAATTTATTCCCCATATGGACATGTTTGCCCCCTGGCAATGCATTTCCATACTCTTTAACTTGGGGACTGAAATTTTATAAATTGACAGTTCTACTCAGAAGACCTTTCAAGCATCTTGTGTTTATGAGAATACAGGGGCATCTGCAGAATGAATTCGAACACATGGATGAATTAAATTTGAAAACACAGACCGAGAGGCAGACAGTTCCTGGGCTGTGGTCATTGCATAGATTATACAAAACTGTTAACCTGTGTCTTTGGCTTTGCCGTATACATTGTCCTGGGTGGGATTACTGGTTTAAGAATTTCACTTTGATTAAACTACTTAAAAAAAAACCTTCTCCCTAAATGGGCATAATTTAGGTTAGTTCTGTTCTGTAGTTAAATCCCTACTCTCTCCCTGCTAATTAACATTATTTCTTTTTCTATGGTGGGACTCTGTATATTAAGTCATAAAAACAATTGAAGCATGTCACAGAGTTATGCTTGATATATAATTTTGGCTAAATGTTCAAATTTTTGTCCCTCATGCATTATCAGCAGTTTGATCTGGAGAGTCCACCTAAGCTATCATGTTGTTTCTTTCTTGCAGAAAACATGCTTTAAACTGCCACAGAATGAAGCCTGCCTTGTTTAATGTGTTGTGTGAAATCAAAGAAAAAACAGGTAGGAATGAGATTCCAATATTTTAGCATTTTCTTTGGCCGGTTGAACTACTTAACCAGCAGTCACAAACCTATTATTTAAATATTACAATTTCAGAATAAAAATACTATCAAGATTGACTGTGTATCCCAATAGGAAGTTCTTGCCTTGGTTTCTTTAAAAGAGCATCAAGTTTCTTTGACAGTTATTATCAAACATTACTGGTTTATTTTCCTTAACTCAATTCCCAGCCTCTTGGAAACTGGGGCTACAATATAGGTTCTGAAGGTAAATTTATAGAATGGTCTGCCTTTGTGGGAAAAAAATATGAAAGTAAAGTTCATTTCCTCAAGGAATATATTTTGACCCATGTTTAAAACTCTAATTTTTTTGGAGTTGGATATGGAGGGTGCTAAAGTGTTTTAAGTTTTCTTTTCTTTTTTTCTGGTAGTTACACAAAGCAGCAGACTAGAGGTTCTCAACACAGAGTGTTGTCAAATACCTTTGTGGAAAGCGCTATACAACATTAGCTTATCGGTATTTGAGTGGCCTGTGATTTTATGGCAGGGAGAATCGTTGGGTCTAGGAGAGGATAATACCATGAGATCACTCACTCTGTTATTTTTCTACTTTCTAGACCTCATATCATGGACTAACACACTTATAACACATCCCAGGAGGGCATTTAAATTTTAAAGCAACAATTAAAAAATAGCAGTCATCAATCAGAGGTGTTCTTAAACAACAGATGCTCTGGGAAGGACATTTAGCAACATCCTCTTGTTTGTTTATTTTAATCCTTAATTTTCCAAAGTGGGTAAATCTCTCCCTGGTAAGAAGAAAGATTTGAGAAGGCAATCTGAGACCAGGGAATAAAGATGAGAGACGGGGATGGGGGGGGGTTGGTTATATAAAGCGGTAGCTTCCGCTGGGCTCTGACTTACCCGCTCGCTTGAGAGCAGTTGGAAGTACCTGACATCCTACTTATTTATTTATTTTTTACAACAAGGAGCATAACAGTCAATAATTCATATCTAAACCATATAAGCAAGGGCATGACATGAATGAAAGTGACAATAAATATGATTGCATGCCCGGTTGATATACATTGATAGTTACACATAAAAAAGGGGTAGTGGGAGAGGGCACGCAGGGTGGCTTTTCTTTTTGAGAGTTCTCTGTGCTTCTCTTTTAGAAAAATAAATAGTTTCAAGATGTGACTGTTGATTGAATATGTAATTACTTGGGTCTTGAAATGCATGTAAAATTAGTAAGCGGCTCCTTTGTTGGATGTTATTTGTATTGTGTATAACATCCTAGACAAAGCACCTGAGAAGTGATGTTCAGACCTTTGAGTCTTCCAGGTTACCTTGCCAGAGCTTGATCTTATTGTGAAGCTGTTAATTGTATTATTTTGGCTGTGAGACACCTTTTAAGAGATTTATGGGTTGTGCATACAAATATCAAAAGAGTTTTTTTCAATTTGTCACACTTTTAGTTTTTTTTTTTCTATTAACCCAGAGAAAGAAACCTAAGAGTGTGTGTGTGTATGTTTGTGTACATATATATTTGTTTTCCTTCTCTCTCTTTTTTCTTCTTTTTTTCTTCTTTGATCTCTGGTGCTTATTTACTTTGAATATTTGGTTTGTTGAAATTCGTTTCTAATCAAGTATGAGCTCCTGCTGGTCTTGTTTTGTAAAATGTAGAATCAAAATATAAAAATATGTGTGATAATCTGGACTAAAGAGAGTCTATTTTTGAAGACTTTATCAGATTTTTATTGAAAGGAGGCCTGTCAGGACACTTAAATGTACATTGTGGCCAAAGTGTTTAATTCTAGTTTCCTAATTAAAACCTACTGAGGCAGTGGATCAAAGTGGGTGGGTGTGAGGAGAGATCCCTCTTAGGTGTGGATTAGAGTTGGCTCCTTGTCCATAATGACTGAAGTATGGTGCTAGGAAGTGGTTGTATTGGTCAAAACAATGGCTAAAAGTGTAATTTATGGTTGGATTACATGGGTTTTTTTTTAAATTTTGTGTCAACACATTTAATGTTTGAAGATTTTTGTGTTCTTTTAATATCTAAATTAAAGTTTTTTGTGTGTTGTCTCTAGAATAATGTATTTTTTAACTGTTGATAAAATAATATAAATGGAAAATGATAAGAATCATTGCCCCCTGTGTTAAAAGGGAAACCACACACATGCGTGTGCACGCACACACACACACACACACACACACACACACACACACACACACTCACACACACAGTTTTGGACTTGGTGAAAGTGGAGGGAAAAAAAGGCCTACTTGCCTCTTATTCCTCAACTTGTGTGTTGGGAGGATTGAAGGGAGGAAGAAACCTCTCCTGGAATGCTAAGTGTTGTGTTAAAGGTAGGAGTCAACTGTGGCGTGTTGAAAAGAACCCTTTGATTCTAAAGCACGATTACTTCGCTGCTTAGGATCTGAGAACCCTCGTTCTGCGTGCCAGCATATCTTCCATGTGGTTGATGTGTCGGAGAAATGAAGTGTCTGTAAAGTTGCAGGAGCTCTTTTTTTTTCTTTCTTCCTCTTGATACAGAGCTAGTGAAAAGATCGCTGGCATGATCATTTCACGTACATTCCTTCATTGTTTGGGGACTTTTTCTATTGTTACTTTCAAGCCTCCTCACATTTAATGAGTATTTTTGAGTTTCTATCTCAAGAATTATAGAGGTTGCTTGACTTAGGGTGGGCTTTGTTTGTGTACTAACACAAAGTTCACACACTTAGCTCACCTGGCAGAAGTCTTGAGAAGAACTTGAGAACTTGATAATTGCATTCATTTGTTGCTTTTTCTTTTTCTGCATTTGTTAATGATTTTTTAGTTGGAGGACTGAGAAGTGCATGGGAAAACTAGCTAAGATGTCTTACTAACCTTTTGGAACTTTAAACATACATATGCACGCACACATTGCACCCAAAGTAGGCAGCACCGTCTGAATTACAGTTGATTGATGGGTATTTAAGTCAGAAATTACTGTGGGGATATTAAAAAAAAAAAAGAACCCATGTGTCTTCATACTTCAGAGTGTAAGTTTTTATTCTGGTATCTTTTTGCTTTTTAAAAATAAATGCTAAGAAAAAGAATGCCAGCAAAAAGCTCCGATGGCAAATCTTGAACAGCAGCTAGAAAAACCCGGTCAGGACCTATAGCAGTATATATTTCAGATGTGGCTTTTATCTCGCTTGCTCATTTTGGGAATATAGAGACTTAATTCAAATTTTGGACCATTGAATATCCCATTTTCTTTTGGATTTTAAGATCTCTCCCTTGTCTTCTGACATATTAGCAGAAGGCTGCGCTTTACATATGTGTGTATGGGGTGACGGTGGGGTTGTGGGATGGAAGAAAAGGAGAAAAAAGTCAAACACTGCATTTCTTTTTTAAAAAAAAGCGTCCAAAACCTTGAATATATTTTAAAATATTTCTTGACTTTTATTTTTTACTTCTGTGTCAAAATCATGCAAGTTTAAAAATTAGGAAAACACAAAAAATATTGGGTGCCATTTACTAAGGAGAATATTTATGGATAGCAGTGAATAGCTGCATAGTTGTGAATAGTTTTTAATTTTAGAATATAACAGCTATATATGGCACTGTTCAGCCAATTTTCCTCTGTGCATTGTCTGTACTGAAGTTAACTCAAATCAAATCATTGGAGGAGGTTAAAAAAATTATTTTTTACTTCCTTAACACCCTTTTGTTCTCTCTCGTTCCTTTTCTCTCTGTGTTCAATTAACACCCCCATCTCACAAAACTGTAGTGTGTGTGTGTGTGTGTGTGTGTGTGTGTGTGTGTGTGTGTTTTTAAGTCTACTACTGTATTTCACTTTTGACACCCTCCCTTATTATTCTCGCCTGCCACTTCTTTTTAATATAGCAATTACATTATGGGACTTCTCCCCCTCTCCTCTCCTCTCTAAAGCATTAGAGAAGAATTTGCATGTCTCTCTCTCTCTCTCTCTCTCTCTGTGTGTGTGTGTGTGTGTGTGTGTGTGTGTTTGCACATATAAGTGGGCAGGCCACTGTGAAAGGCAGCTGTGGACTGTAGGGAAATAAAGGGTATCAGGCCTTGAGCAGAACAGGAGTGAAATAACTTTAGACAGTGTAGAGCAGCCTGTGATTCGATTTCTTTTGGGGTGGAAGTAGCAAGGGTGATTTTCATAGAAGTTCATCTGTACTCAGCAAATGCAAAAACTTTTTCTTGCTGATGAGAAAATTCAAGAATTTGGTTTTTTTTCCCTCTTCTCTGAAAGGGGCTGTGGAGGGAAAAGGGGATCAAATGAAGGGACGTTACAAGTCTGTTTTACTTGATGATACCTTGAGGCACAACAGCGTGTTAAGGCAGAAGCAATGTGGTTAGACTCTATTATTTATTAGCATCAGGATATTGCAATACTATCTGACTCTGAGAGACAGCATAAGATGAACTTGTGACAGTGTTGTCCCTTCTCTCCAGTCACTTTTGTAGACTCCATCTTTAGTCTACTACTAGAATTGGAAAAATCCAGGATTTGGGCAAGGGGAAGACGGTGCAAAGGACAGGTGGGTCCCAGTTGCCTGAATGCAGTCTTTGGAAATTTGATGTCATTTATTCTGACCATAGGAGTGTTTGTGAGGAATGGAGATGAGAGAGATTTAGGTTTCACTGGGGAAGCTGGAAGAGGATTTGTGAGAGAGAACCACAGAGAGAAACATGCGACCTAGGAGCTGTGAGGCGCAGTGCTGGGCCCAGCGAGGGTGTGGGTTCCAAGCCTGGCAACAGGCTGTGCTCTGGGCTGGGAGGGGGCATCGCCTGCTGGTGTGCTTAGCTCGAGGCTGGTGCCCGGCCTACCTCCATACTCCTGCCCCTGCATCCTGTTGATATGCATGAACTCTTTGTTGTTGTTGTTGTTGTTGGAAAAAGTATAAAAATACTCTCAGACAAGCAAGCAAACCAGAACTTAGATGCTGAACATTTTGACATAGGAAGGCGTTTTCGTTTTTCACTTAAAGCATGACCCTGGCTGCTCTTACGACACAGTTTATGTGCA